TGTATCTGTCCACTCACTGTGGTTGTACACATGGGAATCAATTTGAAAGGCAGGGATAGATTTGATTCCACTTCAGCAACCATTAATGTGGACCCATCTGTTCAGAGCATTACTACAATACTGTTCTCTACACTGACTGTATCCTCTCATACTGCAAAAGCAACATGCACGCCATCTGGGTCCAACATGGGGCTTTGCTTCGAGTCACTGATTACAGCATGACCCACTAGCCTTGCATCTGAGGGCCTGCAGGCCTTAGCCAAACATGTACGATCACACACAGAGATAAAACGAGGTAAAATGTAGCTTGAATGTACACAAGCTGTCCTTCCTGGCTCCAATAAGCAGAGATAAGATTGCTGTGGTTAGTTCCCTTGATCCTCAGCGTCTTTAGCTATAAATAGCACACATGCTCTACGTTCAAATCATGTTCTGTAGGCCTAGCTCTGTTAATGATCCTACTCTTCTATGATGGCAAACATTGCCTTTCTTAGAGACCCTGCCCATAACCATCAACTCCTGAGTGGCAGTTCCTTCTCCAAACAAATCTCAAATAGGCATCTGATTGTGTGCTTGGTTTTCCAATTTGCAGCGGCTTGTGAATTTCCTTACAGTAGTGTGGAAAGGCTGGGTGTGGTTTGGGCCATTGCTGCACAGATGTGGCCCTGCTGACGCAAGGCACGTCTGTCTCTTCAGTCTAGCGCAGTTTCCTATTGATATAAGTTAAGCAACCTCATGATTTTCAGTTGTTTGGCCTGAATGAGAGCTACATGTGCCTGTGTGCTACTGCAGTGCCCATGGCTGTCAGTATAAATCAATGCTGCCTCGTGGAGCTCGGCCTCAGATTCCCTGCAGCCAACATGCAACTCTACTGGTCCTCACATTTCAGTGGTTGGGTGAATATCATGAAATCTATTATGAACAGGTTGGATCACATTGCATTCCAAAATCAAAAATAAGAAATAAGAAATTTCTGCAGTAATGTAAGATTTTTTGCATTGTAACACTTTCATGACAATTAAGTTTATTTCCTCTTCCAATTCTCATTATAGTAAAGCAACAAAGTATTCACGACCGTAATATGAAATGTAAAACATATAATAAATATATAATTTATGTAATTTCAGTGTAGTTTAATTTTAATAATTTATGCCAATTTAAATAGTAAAAAAAATTATATTACATTAATTTTTACTGTAATACTTAAAAAAACAACAACTGAGAACCAGCATCGGAAAACAATGGGAAATGCATTGCATTGTAAAACATCTGGATGTCTTACAATAATGAGAATACAATAAAGAATGCAATAAAACATTAAATCACAATACAGTAAAATACAATAAAACATTAACAATTCTTAAAATATATATTTTTTATTACCCATATATATGCATTTTGTGAGACTGACCCAGTTAAAATTCTCAATTTTGATTTAAATAGATTCTGATACAATTATGGGTTGATTTATGAACAATCTAGACGGGAAAAAGATACACGCAGCATTAAATTCTCCTTGTGTCTTCAGGTAGAGCAAATTTATGTAGACAAATTATGCATGTCTGCAGGCCTTCGGGGTAGGTCAAATTAGAATAATGCCTGTTTAAAGACTAGTCCCATAAAACACAAGTAATTACATGATGGCTTAGGTCTTTTTTCTTGCTAACCTTGCAACAAGAGCAAAAAAAAAAAAAAGAGTTCATGCTTGCCAGGAATCCTGACAGACAAGGCGAACGGCCTCCAATTCTGACTCCCAGGATTACGCAATGCCCCTAAACAGTAGGCAAAAATGCAAGAAGTGGCATTATATAACAGATTCTGCACATTAAAACAGCTTGTGAGGCAGCCATGTGGAAAACACAGGGTTTTAATGGGTACAAGTAGTAAAAGTAAATGTGATACGTTGAGAGATGGGGACAGAAAGAGAAAAAAGGAAAAGTGAGGGGTGGTATGGACAACTCCCAATTAAACCAACTGTCTGTATCTTAAACCAAAGGATGACATAATGGACATGCCCTCTCAGATTTCGATGCGACTGGCATCTAAGAAAGAAAGCATTCCTAACTTCTATTCAAGAATGAACGCAGGCCTTGAAGGGAGAACAGTGAAAAAAGAGAAAAAATGAAAAGTGAAGGAAGCAGATTCCTTGTTTTGCCAGATTCTCTCTCATCAATGAGATTTGATATGATGTAAGTGAGCTCTTGTCTGTCAATAATAGGGACAGGTTCTCTATTATATAAATGTTTAAAATATGTTGTAGCATTTACTTACAATGCTACCTTTGTTTTCAGGCATACATGAATTGCTTCCAATGGTTGTGTTCAAATGTGAAAGTGGACATAATGCCGATAATATTTTTCAGAGTATATAGACTCAAAGAGACTCAAATTTGGATATCCCACCCATTTTGAATTGAAGCGAAGTATGAAAAATGGGAAAGTACTGATTCCATGTGAATGTGAGAAATGAAGCTTTTATGCTTCCTCTTGTGTAAGAAAACCACAGGATCTGCTAACAGCTGTTCAATAAATGAATAAAAGGTTCACTCAAAATTCTGAAACGTTTCCACTCAATACAGTGGCTTACCACTTTGGTTTGAACATATAGTCAGAAAGGAATTTACAGGAACACATGCACGACTCCCACAAACTCAATTTGGAAATACAAACTGAAGGTTTTGCAACCAAACCATTTTGTTTTTTATTTAATATATTACATTTAATATTGAATATAAACTAGTAAAGTAAATTAATATTAATAGATAAATAAGAAAAAAAACAATTACAATATTAAACAATAATATTAATCATGATTATTTATATTATTTAATAGAGCTTTATTGCTGATTTTTGCTCATTGGATGTCTAGACCGTGGATCTGGATGCAACATTCACAGTCAACCTCAAATATTCCACTTGGTGACATTTCCATATTCAGAGGAAACATACTTTGAAGACCAAAAGAGGAGAACCGCACCCCTGCTCTTCCACAGCTGTATGGAATGCGTCTTGGCTTCAAAGTGAGTCTAATAAAAGCACAGTCACCCGCATCCATCTCAATCAACTCTCTCATGACGTAAACCGAGGTCTTGGGTGAAACCCTGAATTGTCCTTTCTTCAGCTCTATGGCATCATGGACCACTAAGAATGGCTGTGACGTCAGCAACATGTGCAGTTCCTCCCTTGTGCCCAATAAAATCAAAATGCAGCAAGTACCGTCTCCATCAAAACCAACCATGTCTTATTTAGACTTCAAAACCTGTATGTTTTAAAGCAAAATTGCTATTTTTTATGTTATATGACTGATTTAGCATATTATTAAGCTTATGAACTTGCATGAATACATGTTGTCGTCCAATGTGAAATCTGGATCCTGAAGCAAAACCAGCCGAAAAACACTCAAGCTAGAGAATTTTCTGCCCACCCACTAGACACACAGTCATGAAAAAAGCTGCACTTGCTTTTATATAACAGCACCTCGCTCACACCATCGATTTAAAACCACCCGACAGCTTTATTGGTCGTGTGTTATTGCTGTTCGGTTGACACACAGATTAATACAACATAAATAAGAGCTGAATAATCATCTCAGTTTCCACCACAAAGGCTCTGATGCAGTGATGAATAACCTTATAAATATGAGAGCAGGGATGATAAGGTCAAGTGGCAGAGAGGCTATTCAACTTTTTAATGGATTGAGAGGCATATATTGAGCAGACATCAATGCTGCTGGCCTGAAAATGGATATAAATGAAAAGAAGAGGTCCTTCATTCACTATCTTTCAGTTCCCCAAACATGCACCAAGAGCCATATGCTGTATTAAGAAAACATCCAAGTCTATAAAAGCAAAGTACAGCAACTTTCATTTTAGTGTTTATAAAAGTAGCCACTCATCTGGTCAAAAGAGAAAAATAGCCCCTCAACTGGTCATGTTAAAAAAAAGAGGAAAAAAGGGTGACTTCGACACAACTGTTTAATATTAAAGTTACAAAAGTGGGCAATAAAATTGTCTGAATATAGGCTGTCTTTGCACGCAGATGTCTGAAATGACATTCAAAGTTTATCATACTTTGCATACTTATTTCTATCTATGGTACTCTCCACAAATACAGTACAAAATAGGTCCAAAAAAGGCTTAAAATTTAGATTTTTTCCCCCCTTTCTTAAATGGTCAGACGCTAAATTTGATATGCAACATTGCTTCTGTCTATATACAGTTTAAACCCATTATTTGTGAGATTTTGCCACATTTTACACAAAACATATAAAACATAGACATCAAAATTAAATCTATACAACTTATAAAGTAAAGAATTTATAAATAAAATATATAAAATAATATAACATTTTAAATGTTTTAAAATATGAAACAGCATTTATAAAATCAATAAATAAAAACAAATAAAAATATATTAACAGTATTAGGCTACTACAATGAACTGGTATCAATTCAATATATTGTGACATATGATTTTTATTGTTAAAAGTGGGACAGGCCAAAAATGACCAGTTTGGGGGGATAAAAACATTTGATTTGTTTACAACTAGTTACTTTTCATACCGAGTCAATTTTGTGTGACATAATAATTTATAAAACATGTCTAATAAAGATAGATTTTCTTCTCGCAACCAAAAAAACATGAAATGTGTACCTCTAAGCTTTGCAAAAGTCGCAGGAAACCCGTATTGATGGAATATGTCGCATCTCTTCCTCAGCAAGTTCAAGAAATTATTTTGGGGAGTTTTGAGAGAGGTGAGTGCATAGAAAGTATTTACTGAAATGTTACTGAAGACGGCGAGTGATTAACGCACAGACAAACTGATTTTACGATCTATCGCAAACTCTCAGTTGTTTAAAAAAGTTTTATCAACACCTGTACAAACAACCCATCGCTTTCTATGATTATGCATCGTGGAAGTCATTTATCATATCAAAACATAACGGTGAGTGTATTTTGAATAGAGGTTCAGAATAAAATCGAAACGTAATACAAACTTACCAAAATAAACAGTCTTTTCGCATTTAGGGCACTTTGAAGCCATCGTCTCTCAAACCGGATTCTCTCAATCAGCGTCAGGTTTGTCTTCCAGGCGCGCAAGAAGACCAACGGCTGAGAGAGAGCTGGAGCGCATCCTACTGAAAGCGCCGCGCTGGATTTGCATAGCCCCGCCCACTCTCGCAGGTCTGCGTGAGGGCTTCGCTTTTCGCTTCTCTCATTGGTCAGGCTGACGGTCAGTCATCAAGTGGGCGGGGTCGTCTGGCTGCCACTGGCTCTTTCTTTTTACATCCTTCAACGGGAATGTGAAAGGCGTCCAACAAAGGTTCGTTTCACGTCTCATGAATAGGGATTCTTCAGCACTTGCCAGACCGTTACTAGTGGAAATCAGAGGGAGAAAGATATTGGCAGGTCCCAGTCATGCTTACAACACTTCTCTTTTTGTTTGGGGTTGAGGTCACTGTATGGCAGTATTACGTTTTTGACTAGTTTGTCTCTTACATCACCACGCCTAAAAATGTCTGTCACCCACATCTTTTTTTTACACTCAGGTTTTTGCCAGCTCTTACAGACTTTTGCCTTGACCATGTGTCCACGTCATTTCTCCCTCGAACTGATCAGTCAGCAGAACAAATGTCCGCCTTTTCCAGACTCCTTCACAGCTACACGCAACCAAGTCCTGTTGTCTTCCATAAATCTCTAAATTGCTTAGTCGACTAGTCAAACAGAACCCTGACTAGTGCTGTTGTAAAGTGTCTCTTGATACCTAAGTGAATATTGGCTCTCACTCTACCTATAGCTGATTTCAGTGAGAGGGATGTGAATCTTGCAGCGTCAAGTCTATTTAAGTTAATTTGTGTGTCAGTGTTACAGTGTCAGTAAGTTTGCTGTATTAGCACATTTGCACAGCTGCAACGCAGGGATTTGCTGTGTTGGCTTGGTGGGACGAAACCTTAATGCTTGTTGTAAAATAATGTTTTTAAACGACTAAAAAGTAAAAAATTACAACATTTACAACATTTTAAAATTCTAATGGAGTAGCATTCATATATAAGTGAGACTGGGGCTAGTTGTCACAGCCTTTATGTCAATAATAAAGTAATGAAGTGAATTCAGTGAAATACTGGTATACAGTCAGAGAAAAGTCAACTACGTAATGAAGGTAGATTTAACAGAAAGGTATGTTGTTAGGACAAGGGTATTCATATATACCCATGTATATGTGTCAAATTAATGTCAGGTTGGGGCAACAAAAAAAAAGCTATTGTTTATTATGGCAGGTTTCCATTGTGACAACTTACCCCATATAGTGTGACAACATGCCCTGCCATGTGTTCAGTAAACAGTTTTTTTTCCCCTGGACAATAACAGTGAAAATATTCAGTATCCTTTTTGTAGGCAAAGATTATGTGCAGAAATTGCCTTTTAAAAATAAACCTGAGAATTATTCCCTGAAGTAAATAGTGTGACAACTAGCCTCGTCCTATGAACACTACTGTTTGGAATTTCTATTTCAAGTGAATGCAAATACATTTTATTTCACATAAATGTTAAACATTCTGTTTTTTTCAAATAAGCCTGAAATAAATGTCATGTTTCCATAACGTGATAATATTAAGCAGCACAACTGTTTTCAACATTGATAATAATCCGAAATGTTTGTTGAGCACCAAATCAGCATATTAGAATGAATTCTGAAGGATCATGTGACACTGAAAAATTGCAGCTGAAAATTCAGCTTTGCCATCACAGAAATGTAAATTTTAAAATATATTAGAATATAAAAATTTATATTTTCAATTGTATTAATACTTTACAATATTACTGTTTTTACTATATTTTTTAATCACATAATTGCAAAAATTGGTGAAAAATATTTAAAAAATATTACCAACCCCAAACTTTTGAGCATTAGTATATGTAATTTTTTAAAGTCCTTTTACCTCAAGCCTGTGCAAATCCATTGGCACAAGTGTTGAACAGGTGCCTAAGGCCCTTTGCCTCCATAAATACCCAGTCTTCCATTTACACCCGTTTCCCGTGGGACAGATTCAGAGCCACATGTTTCCCCAAAGCAAGTGTGTTGTGGGTGCATAATCCACCCACACCACCCTTCAAACACGCCCAAAACCAGCCCAACTCTTCATGCACGTGCTGTCATGATTCATGTGGGAACATCTGCATTATTAAATGCTTCTTAAAAATAATAGCAGCAGATTTTCAAGACATAATCTAGGTGTGGTGAATCATTTAGGCTCTTAATTAGGAGATTACTATGTTTTCCTTTCAAAATAATAAAATAAAACAAGATTTATGAACAAAATATGAATGCTCTTTTACCACCATGATGCTACTGTTGTTGTTAATAGATGCCAGAGGGTTGCTAGTTGCTAAGGTGTTATTAGCGTTGTTACTGTTAACTAAAACAAACAAAAAAAAAACATTTGATTGTTAATTGAAATAAACCTGAATTAAAATAAAATATAAATATTACATGAAGAACATTTTTTTTTCCAAAAACTTATAAAAATGGCAAAAGTACATTACAAAATCACAAAAATTTAACTAAAATTAAAATGAAAACAGAAATGAAAAATAAAAACTACTCTAAATATTAATAAAAACTGTAATAGTACATAAATAATAAATACAAGTTCTCAGTGTTTATTCTGGGTGGTTACTAAAGCCTGAAGAGCCCACCAACACGTATTATTGATCCTTATAACCTGCTAAAAATCCTGACTAAACCTACCTAAGCTGTTTTCTGGTCTACGCTGGTTTAAGTTGGTCTCTCCTGCAACTCAAGCTAAAAAAAAAGCTGTTGGTCTTAGGCCAGCCTAAGCTGTTTTAAGATGGTTTTATTCAGAAGGGTGTATGGCTTAGGCTTTGCTCCTTAATTTGGTGTAAGTCCATGGGATGTACCACACAAATACCACTAATAAAATAATTATATTTGACACAGCAGAAATTAAATATATTCTGAGGGTAATGCCAGGAATCTAGTCACATAAGTGTAACCAGTCGTGTAGCTATTATATCATATGCAAATGTGAATGAGGATCCAGATGTACTGAAGCAGAACTGGTCTATTATTGTATTAAAGTGGTTCTGGATATTCTTAACTGCGAGAGACTGAAGGAGAGTGGTTGGTATCAGACCTCTTAAGGGTGTCTACAGTTAAAGACAGCAGTCTGGGAAACAACAGCAGGTGTCTGTGGTGACCGATAAGGCAGACAAGGCACAGACTCCATGTTATCTCCAACTAGTCTCTAAGCAACTCAACCCAACTTTACTATCAGACATTCACAGGTCAGAAACTGGAGAAATTGCTCAGAGTGACCTTAACATGGTACTATTACATATTACATAAATGGCATCGCTGTGAAGGCCCTTTGTCATACTTCAAGTTTCAGAAAAGGGATGCTGAGGAATGTCAAAAATCATCCCTTGTGGTATTTGTCTTGATTCTCTGCCTAAGATAACAGTCGAACGGCCTCGTCCTCAAATCGCACACACTCTGAGATTGTAGTGATGGGAAGATGTACTCAGCTTTCCAACAGTCCTCCTCTGGGAGTTTCCTCATCTCTGGAGTGTCTTTGTTTGATCTAATCAGAGCTACTTTATTTAGCTGGTTTGCTTACACATTGTTCATGTCTTTGTCGAATCATTGTTTGTTTAAGTTCAAGTGGAAAATGAATGCTTTCGGTCACATGAACAGGTGATGTAACCACAAAAAGTCACAGGAGAAGGGCGAGGGAACTATCACATGGATTCAAAGCTTGTTTTGATGGTCTAAAGTACTTTCCAGCACCTGACAGGAAAATGCAAATGGTTAATCTGTTGATTACATAAGGAGGGAATTTTTTTATAAGATGTTGAGGATGTTTTGGTTACAATAGTTGTTTTGGTTTGTTTGTGTGTGTGTATGTTGTGGATATTACTTGCAATAGGCAGTTCTTATTCTGCTGTTTGTAATTCACCTGAGTAATTAGTGATTTCTCCGTTGAATGGGTTAGTAGTTAACAGTACATCTTGGAGAGTAAGCAGTTCATCAGTGTATTTTTATACCAATATACTGTATATATAGCTTACCTTTTGAAGTGAAAAGGAACGTCCCGTGCACATAAATAATAATAATAATAATAATAAATAAAAGTAAATAAATAAATAAATAATATTGTATTAAAAATGTTATAAATAAAAATAAAATAAAATAATACATTAAAATAAAATACAGTATTTTACTTATGATTGGCATATGATTGCTCTGCCACCATATGGTGCTGCTCTTAAAGGCTTTTGTAGACCATTTGCATAATGTGAAGTATTTTACATATATATATATATATATATATATATGTGTATGTAGTGATGTATAAATTATAAATTCATTTTTATTAGTCACATTTTTATTTCATTTATTTAGTTGACACGGAAATGGTCTTTCATAGGAAATACACATTGGAATATATAAAAATATTTCTTTCAAACTGTAAAATCTTTGTGAACTAAATAAAGCAAGTGATTTTCCCTACAATATAATTTGTGTGTTCAAAATGAAGGTTACGACCTACACGCCTATAATTTTGCCTGGTGTAGAAGATAGGGTTTTGCAGTATTCAAGGACTAGTAAATTCAGTTTTAAGAAGGAAGCTGTGATTGATTTAAAGGTTATGTGAACAAGTAGGCTGTCATTTACATCATTATATAACCAGCCACAACCACAGTGATCGTAAATGACAAGATTAACAATTTGTACATGCGTATATGCGCATACATGTGAGTTTGTGCATGTACCGTATAAAAACTATGCATAAAACTGTCCATTTCTGTTAAACTGACAATCCTGCCTATAGGGAAAAGCGTCAATCACGGCCCTTTACTGCCCTACTTTTATCTAGATATTGCTGTATATCATGCAGAGCAGAGCAGGGAAATGCACCCACACATGCACATTTGCTACAAAAAAGATCTTGATGGACATATTACACTTTTGCATGCAATGCACCTGTGCGTGTGGAGCCAGTAACCCGGCCATGTGGTCTCTGGGGTCAGCTGCTGCTTTCTTCCCCAAGATTTTTGGCATACGGATGACTCCACTGTTCTCTTGCCAACTG